GAAGATAGTTGCTCTCTCCACAACTGAAGCAGAATATGTCGCTGTTACGGAAGCCAGCAAGGAGATGGTTTGGCTCCAAAGTTTCTTGGAAGAGTTAGGCAAGAAACAAGAAAACAATGTCTTGTATTGCGACAGTCAAAGTGCTATACATCTAGCAAAGAATCCGTCTTTTCATTTCAGGACAAAGCACATACAATTGCGATATCATTTTATCCGGTCTCTTCTAGAAGATGGGATTTTGAAACTTGAAAAGGTCAGTGGAGCTCAAAATCCGGCAGACATGTTAACAAAGACGGTGACTACAGACAAACTGAAGTTGTGTTCAACTTCAGTTGACATGCTAGAGTAACAAGACTAGAAAAGCTGTTGCATTGATCGAGGTGTGAAGACAGATTAAAATTAGTCTTCAAGAGATTGTTGAAATTATTAAAATGGTTTTCAAGTTTGGTAACCAACTTTGAAAAAATGGTTTCCAAAGTTTGGTAAATGTTTCTTTGAAAATGGTTTTCAAAGTTTGGTAAATGTTTCTTTGAAAAATAATTTTTCAAAGTTTGGTAGATGTTTGTTGAAAAATGATAATGGGATAATCACAATTAATCCCTAGGCTTTAGGGTATTTACAAGATTAAGTCCTTAAGTTTCAACTATAAATATCCTAGCTCATTTAGCTTCAAAACCATCCCAAAAATCATTTCTTTCTCTTAATACTAGAGAGTTTTCTTGTGAGTAGTGAGTGTTTTGTAAACACCTGTAAATTTTCTCTCTTAGTAAAAGATCTGCAGCAGTCCGGAGACGTAAGCACAATTGGCTGAACTCCGTTATCAATTTCGGGTATTATTTTTCCGCTTTTATTTTGTATTCTCACTAATCTGGTTATAGGGAAATTACTTGTACTTGGTTTATTTTCCAACACAGCTTGGACCAAGAAACAAACAGCTTGAACTTTTCGTTTATCGGCATCCTCCAGCTTCCTATATAAATAAGACTAGGGGTCTCTCGATGTTTGCAGCCAACCCCAAAAGAACCCCATCACTCTGTACCAGTACTGCAGTAGAAAGAAATGGAGTTTAAAAGCAAGAATCTTTTGTCTAAGATGGCCACAAACGACGGCCATGGAGAGAACTCGCCTTATTTTGATGGGTGGAAAGCGTACGACAGCAACCCTTTTCACCCCACTCAAAATCCCCATGGCGTCATTCAAATGGGACTAGCTGAGAATAAGGTGTGTTTACAAACACTTATATACATATATATTAGAGCATCACGCTCAAGTGTAGTCGTTGTGTTGCTCTCAAGATAGAAAGAGACGTCCTTAAACACTTTAAATAGTGCATATATGGATTGGAAATGAGTTACCAATTTTGTTGATTAATTTCCACTTTGTTTCATTTTTTTTGTTAGCTTTGCCCTGATTTGATCAAAGAGTGGATTCTGGAAAACCCTGATGCATCCATCTGCACAGCACGAGGGATCGATAAGTTCAACGATATTGCAATCTTTCAGGATTATCACGGCCTCAAAGAGTTCAGAGAGGTACCTAAATAACCCAATATGTATTTGTATACGTGTTAAGAAAACGAGTAATTGCTTACTGCATTTTCTTCAGGCTGTAGCAAAGTTCATGGGGAGAGTAGGAGGAAACAAGGTTACATTCGATGCGAACCGTATAATGATGGGCGGCGGAGCCACCGGAGCTAACGAGATGGTCATGTTTTGCCTGGCCGACCCAGGCGACACTTTTCTTGTACCTTCTCCTTTTTATGCAGGGTACGTACTATTATACATGTATATATTTTCTTTTGATTATTAAAAGGGTATTTATTTAATAAAAGCTAATTATGTTTTTTTATGAATAAACTATGTAGATTTGCCCGGGACGTAAGGTGGCGCTCTGGGATAGAAATAGTTCCAGTTGAGTGCAAAAGCTCAAACAGTTTTCGTATAACGAGAGAAGCCTTGGAAGATGCCTATGAAAAGGCTCAAACATGGAACATAAACGTCAAAGGCGTCCTCATAGCCAACCCTTCGAACCCTTTAGCACAGTCGACCCCGACACGATGAGAAACATAGTCAGCTTCGTCAATGAAAAGACCATCCACCTTGTCTGCAACGAAATCTACGCCGCAACTGTCTTCAGCTCTCCTAGATTCATTAGCATTGCTGAGATTATACAAGACATGGATGATTGCAACCCTGATCTCATTCACATTGTTTATAGCTTGTCCAAGGACATGGGGATCCCGGGTTTTCGAGTCAGTATCGTATACTCGTTCAACGATGATGTTATGCATTGTGCTCTTAAGATGTCGAGTTTCGGATTGGTCTCGTCGCAAATGCAGTATTTGCTCTCTTAGATGCTTTCGGACGACGAGTTCGTGGGGAATTTCCTAAGGGAAAGCTCCAAGAGGTTGGCCAAAAGGCACCATGTTTTCGTCAAGGGGCTGGAACAAGTTGGGATTTCTTGCTTGAGAAGCAACACTGGTTTGTTCTTCTGGGTGGACGTGCGACTGCTCCTTAAAGAGCAATCTCTCCAGGGAGAAATAGAGTTGTGGCGTGTGATTATTGATGAAGTGAAAATCAAAGATTCTCCGGGTTCATCTTTCCATTGCTCCGAGCCGGATTGGTTTCGGGTCTGCTTCGCGAACATGGACGAAGAGACAGTGATGTAGCCCTCCATAGGATCCAGGCATTTGTACTAGGACAAGAGAACCAAGAACTGGACAAGTCGAAACATTGGCGAAAGAAACACCTTCGCCTCAGCTTCTCTTCCTCTAGGTTATACGACGAGATGACCATCATGTCTCCACACATCATTTCCCCTCACTCGCCACTCGTCCAAGCGACGACTTAACTAATCCTTAAATCTCCGATCTTTTAATCTGACCGCTGATCTGTTAAACCATTTGAATTAAGCTCAGTGTACACTAACATTTGTCTCCACATTTTCTGACATTGAAGATCTATGTTGTATGTAACTAAGCATCATTTTCGTTGGAGATGTGTTGAATAATCGGGTAAAGAAAACGGAAAGAAAACAAGAATTTTTACGAGGTTAAGTAATGTGCTTACGTTATCGGTGTCCTAGACGGCGCTAGAATTTTTATTCAATGTCTCATAGGTTTTTGTTACATCTCCTTTTATAATAAATAAACTCTAGTACATATTTACAAAAATAACTCTGTATTGTATATTTATGAGTCATACCTAACAAGATGAATGTCACATTGTAGTAGCATAGTAATACTTGTTTCATCAGTTTCTATATATATCCTATCACATGATCTTTTAGTGCTTATATCGGATAGTTCTGTCCTATGGCATTTTAATTTAAGATTAAAGAACGATAGGAAATGGATGCAACCAAAAATATTATAAAAATTATAATATTTTCGTTTGGACGTAACATAAAATTAAACCGAAAATGTTAGGTAGAAGATAACATTTTCGTTACCTCTAACCGAAAATGATATGAGTTTTTATAATATTTTAGGTCGGAGCTCTTCTTGTTTTAAACTAAGCTCCCTTTTCTTAGAATCTCCCCTTACATCGGCATAAAAAGACACTGAAATTTTTGGCTTTGTTAGCTCAATCAACATTGAGTTGCGTAAGCTTTGTGATCGCCGTCCAAGGCTTCCCTCTATCTACTGCCTTCGTGTCGGTACAATAACTTGTTTTAGTTAATAATTTAAAGGTGTTATGTTATCGGAAAAATAAATAAGATATAAAATAAAAATATTAAAAAGAATACCGATAGAGGAAATAATATAATATTAAAATTAATTACAAGAATTACGAATTTAAAGATTTCTTACCACACTCCAGATTAATAAAAAAACAAAGATTTCGTACTATTATAATTATACTACTTATTATCTATTTATAAAGTTAACTAATAACTATTATCTATTTATAAAATTAATTATTTGATAAAAAAATATTTAATATTACAACGACATTTTCTTAATACCAAAGTAATCTCAAGTAAAATTGTACTAGAAAAATATAGTGCTTCATGAATTTGGTGTATGTCAGATTCTGCAGTAGAGATATACCGAGGTAAAGATAGTCGTTTTTTTGAAAATTTAAAATTATTATATATTTTATATATTTTTATGTATTTTCTATTAAAAATCTATTTTCATTTATCTCTAAATTTAAATTAATCTTTATAATATAAAATCTTATGTCCGTTCTTATACCGCATAAATAGTGGTGGGCTTCAAGATAGAGAACCTCCGCATCCACTGTATATATCCTCCTTTTAGTTTATTTTTTCGCCAAATGAATTACACTATGAATTTTAGGAACATATCAAAATAGAATTAGGATCTCAAATTTTAATACAATGATCATATCAAAAAGAAAATAATGATTGCTCGAAAGAACCGACCAATGCATCGGGACCATTCAGTTTTCACGTAGGAGATTTGTTCGATACATCAATAAATGAACATCGACATATCATAACAGATTATTATATATTTAATTTTTCACCCTTGTAGTATACACTCTTATAGTACGAACCAACTTACTTTAGCTATTAAAGTAATTATTGTTATTTTTAAAGATCATATATTCGAGCACTAATGACTGTAAAAGATAATTGAGAATAGAACATATATTATTTTATAATCACATATCAGTATCGTATTAAACCAACCACGGTGAGTATGGTTTTTTTCTTAAAAAAACCCACCATGGTCATGGAGAAAATAGTATAACATGTAGGGGGAAATGCAGGAAAATCTCCAAATAAGAATTTCTGAGTGTCCAAATAAGAATTTCAGAGTGACCCACCATGGTCATGGAGTTGTCAAACATGTGAAGCTATTGCTTTTTATCAAACAAAAGTACCCCTAAATGAATGAAGCTTCAATTGACAACACGTGATTGGCATCGCATTAAATGATACACTCAATTTTTCAATGCTAGAATTTATACCTTGCTTCATCTTTTTTGTTGGGCGGTGTCTGTGGGAGGCTTGGAGATGAGAAGACTTCCAAACAGATTCCAAAATTTCATTTATTCAATCTAGTCTCTCTACACACAACACATTACTTATACATGATAAACAAAACAAAAAAAGATTTAGGAAGGCATATCACCATCTATATATATATATATATGTTGTTCCTATATATGCTCATTGATGGCATTCAATTGCAGCACCAACTTGAGAGAAAGCTATCTTTTGCTTCCCCCTTCAAGTTCACTCAACAAATAACACAAGCATTAGGGTTCTCTTCCATGCTTTGAACATAGTAATAAGAGGTCATATGAGGATTGTACGCTCTGTAAGCCTTGACAAGCTCCAAAACAGGGTCTGGGGGAGGCTGTGCCTTCTTCTCTTCCTCCTTCTTCCCTTCTTCCTTCTTCTCTCCCCTTCTTTTCTCTCCTCTTTCTTTTCTCCTTCCTTCTTTTCTCCCTTCTTTCTTCGCTTCTTCCTTTTTCGGCTCCTCTTTCTTCTCCGGTTTTTTTGCTGGTCCTACTGACACTATGTCGGTTGGCCAGTACTTGCGCAATTTGCTCACCACGTTCACGGGGTCAACTGTGCCGGTCACTGTTAATTGCTTCGCTTTCATATCCATGGCGATGGAATCGATTCCTGTTAAGTTAAATCAAGAGGAGAAATCATTTCCAACACCAGCTCATGGGGAAGAATAATATGATATGACAGGCTACATTCTTTCTCATAAAAGCCAATCATTTTACTGTGCCTTCACCTTGAACTTGCGTCTAGAGTTAAAAACGAAAGCACTCCCCCTGTTTGTCAGTCCTATCATTTTCTGTGGTTAACATAAAAAACATTTGGAGAGCCATCGAGCAAATACTTTAATTCTGATTTTCTTTATGCAGTGTCACATGAATTTGTTTTCATGCCAAGGATCTTAGTTGGTAAATAAATTGCTTTAGGTAAAATTACAGATTCTGGTCACAAAATTTTGAAAAACTTCAACAAGGACCCCTACTACAACAAGGGTAAAAAGTTTAGAAACTCTTTCATGTAACACATGTGGTTTAAACAGATGATGGAGGACAATTTGCTTGAAATCAAAGCTTATGTACCTGAAAGAGTTGAGACGGTCTTTAAAGCCTTTTGCTTGGCTTTGTCATCATGCAAATCCAGCTTCAACACTACCTTCTGCAATAAAACACAAGAGAGCTGTCTCAGAATCATCCATGCTTGTTTTTTATAATTAATATGTAAATATATAATTGATAAACCTTTATTACTCTTAGGAATCAGTATAAAACAGGAATCATAATCGAATTTAAGAACAACAATCCCCTTCAAATCAGATACAAAAAGAATCAAAACCCAGAACAGGAAAGCAGATAATTTAGTCATAAACAGAAGGAAAATCCCAGAATAGAAACCAGACCTTCATTGATGTTTAGAACCTTCTTTAGCTTTCGATGGAATTTCAGATAACCAAAACACAAAACAGAGACGATTTGAGGAATGTGTACAGAATAGAAAGGGAAGATGGATAAAGGGGAGGAAATGTGAAGAGAATAGAAGAGATTCAGGGAATACGTAATGGGAATTTGAAAAAGATTGAAACTTTGGACAGATTACAAAGGGAGAAAACAAGAAAATCCAAAAATTAAAGTAGTGCAGAGAAGGAGAGAGAGAGAGCACCAATAAGTCTAATATGGAGGGAAATGAAAACAAGTGGGCAGGGACGGGGGAGACGTTCTAATTTAAGGTCAAAGAAGAATTAAAAAAAATAAATGCGACGAAAATATTATAAAAATTATAATATTTTTAATTGCATTGATCTAAAATGTTGTGAAAATATTAAAAAAAGTTTTTAAACAAAAAAAAAAAAGAAATAATATTTTATATTACATCTAACAGAATATATTATATTTTTTATATTATGATCGTATTTTTCTCACCTTTAAATTATATTGTATTCTCTAGACTCTCCCACGAAGACGACGATGAAATACGAAAGAAAAGCAGTAGGCCTGTAAAAGAATTGAACGTTCAGTAAACCGTTCATGAATCGTATGCGGGAAGTTCGTTTATGTGCGTTTATTTATTAAATGAACGAGCATGAACAAGATTTTGTGTTCGTTTAATTAAATGAATGAACATGAACATATGTCTCGTTCGTTCATTTACATTCGTGAACATTCGATTATATTCGTTTATGTTCGTTCGGTTATGTTCATTTATGTTTAATCAAATCTTTTTAAATCAATTTTGGTGACCAATTTGTAAGTATCTTAAAAATATTATTAATTTGATATTATGATGATCAACTCCATAATTAACCCAATTTTATTTGGAAAACTCAACAATATTAACATGGTTTAGTTCTTTTTGAACGATCCATATGTTGCATACCCAGCACTATCAATATCCACTGTGTCGGAACCCTATGTGACTGCGCCACCAGCTCGAGTCTCGAGTTTTAATTGAGCTCTTAATTTTTTTTTGAGTTCGAGCCTATTCGAGTTCGAGTTGAATTTCAATATTATATTTCGAGTTCGAGTCGGACTTTATAATTTTAAGCTCGCGAGTTTTCAAGTCAAGTCGAGCTGACTTTGAAAGTTTTTGAGTTTGAGTCGAGCTCAGCAATACTCGAGCTCGACTCGGATCGTTTACACCCCTAGGTAGGGTTTCCAACATTTATGTTCGTTTATGTTCGTGTTCATTTATGTTCGTGTTCGTTTATGTTCGTGTTCGTTTATGTTCGTGTTCGTTTATATTCGTTTATTTATTAAATGAACGAACATGAACAAGTTATATTCCTTAATAAACGAATATGAATAAAATAAATTTTTTTATTTATGTTCGTGTTCATTTATGTTCGTTTATTTATTAAATGAACGAACATAAACATACCTCAATTCGTGTGTATTAGATTCGTTTACAGGCCTAAAAAGCAGTGATACAAAGTATCGCTGTCTGAGTCACCACCCACGCTACTGAAAGGGGCGTTGTAACCACACCATTGCATCTATATTTTTAATTTATTAAATATTATTTAATTTTAATTTATATATAATTCACACATATATTCAACCAATCTCTAAATCGTATATTATTTAAAACAACGATGATTAAATTGAGTTTGAATTAATTTAAATTTTAAAATCGAATCAATCATAAATTTAAATGTTTGAACTATTCATCATTATTTTAAGACAAAATTCTTTTAACTAAAATCTAAATTTGTTGTTGTTGTTGATTTCAATCATTATTCAAAAATAAAATAATTGATAAATGAAACAAATTGGAGGGAACATTTATCTTACTACTAAATAATTTAGGGTAAAGTATATCAATGGTCCCCCGACTATAAAGTTTTGTTTTGTTGATCCCCCGATTATCAAAGGCTATAAAATGGTCTCCATGGCTATAGATATTGATTTAATTTGTTGAGTCCCTCAATTAATAAAAGTTATAAAATGATCACCCAACTATTCATTATTTTCCAAATTCTTCCATTTTCGTCAAAAAAAAAATAACGAAAGTTTGAGCTTGATGTTAATCTATTATCTGAGATATAATAAAGTCTGGTCCCAAAATCTCAAATGACTATCATACCTTATACAACATATTAACATCCAGCTCAAACTACCGTTAATCATTTTAACATAAAAGGATCAGTTCAGAACATAATGAATAGTTGGGTGATCATTTGTACTTTTAATAGTTAAGTGACTCATCAAAGTACAACATATAGTTAAGAGACAATTTTATAACTTTAATAATTAGGAGACTGATAAAATAATATCTTATAATCGGGGACCATTTATGTACTTTACCCAACAATCTATATATTAGTAAGATTGGTTCCTACAAAAAAATTGTTAAGAAAAATTAATATTTTAAGTTGAGTCTAACTAAAAACATTATGTTTTTTATTATTATTTTTTAATTTGTATTTTAGAAATACAATTGTACAACTCGATGGCAGGAAATTTATTAAAAGTGGACCCCCCTCAGGTGTACACAATATTTTATTTTTAATACGGAGTGCGTGCATTTTTGTGCACCGCAGATTATGGCGCGTGAAAGTAACTTCTCAAGTATTTGACAACATTGATAATTTCAAGAACCGACGGCACGGAAAGTCACCGGTTTGAGCCATTAGTCGGAGCGTGGTCCCTATCGGTCAAATTTCTACGTCCCAACACTACGGTTTTTTTTCAATTAACGAAGTACATCTTCTGACTTATTACGGTAGATAATATGAAAAAATTTAGAAAATATGACTGATTCAAAAATATTTTGACAGTAAATATATATTAATATATAAATTTATAGTATATAAATAAAATTTTATATTTTCAATGAAATAAAATGTTTTCTGTGTTTGTTTCACGTAATTCGTTTTTCGAAAAATGTTTTTCAGTGTTTAGCTAGAGGAAAACTGGTTGGTAAACGTAAAACATTTTCCTGGTCAACAATTTTTTTTTGTTTTTTCTGAAAAATGACTTAAGGTCTGATTTTCCGTAAGTCATTTTCCGAACTTTTCACAACAAATAATAAATACTCAAAATAATTTTATTTAAAATTTAATATAATAAATATTTAATATCATTTCATCAAATATTAATTATTAAATATTTAAATATATTTATTAATATATAATATTATATTATATTTTTAATATTATAATAAAATAATCAATTATATTGTAATAATATAAGATATTATTTTTATTTAATAAATATATAATATTTTTATATATTTAATATTGATATAATAATCTAATAATATTTTAATAAAGATATTTAAAATATACTAATTAATATTTTTAAAATATAAAATAACACTATTACTTTAATAAATAATTAATATAATATTTTTATTTCAGTAAATATACCAATATAATATTTATTAATAAAAGTATAAAAAATATTTAATAATAATAAATTATTTTAATATTTAAAATAATAAATTAAGTTTTATGATAAATAATATTATTTATTATATTTAATATTTGTAATAAATAATTTTTAAAAAACTCATCAACTAGTGGAAAAAAGATTTTTTCAAAAAATGTAATTCATTTTACGAAAAATATTTTACGGAAAACGTTTTCCGTAAATATAATTCATTTTTCAGAATTCAAATTTCAATAATTCATTTTACAGTAATTCAAATTCCAGTAATTTAAATAGATTCAAACTACTGAAAGATCACCGAAAAATCATACATCAGACTCAAGGGACGTGAAAGGGTATCAATGAACACGTAACAAGTACCCAAATCTAATCAGATGATCCAAAATAAGAAAGATCAGTAATATAAAATCCAAACGTCATCTGAAATTTGATATTTGATAATTATATTAAGTTTGCAAAATTAAGCTGCATTAACCTTTTAAATGAAAATAAATTTTTTGAGAATATTTATAGCATTTGTAAACTCCAAATCCAAAATCAAACATGTAAAGTATAATAAACCCCATGATTCTTTTCAGAAGCCTCATGGATCCTGAAGTTGACCAGACACAACTTAAAAGAAAGCGTTACTTTTTCCCATCTTGTCAAGACGTAATAAATATTAAAGTTAATGGTAAATTACGTATTTAATACATGAATTATCAGTTTTAATTTATTTTAATATCTAAACTTTTAATTTGTTAAAACTATATCTAAATTTTAGTTTTTATTTTATTTTAATATTCAGCCATTAAAAACTTTAGTTTTTATTTCATTTTAGTATCCAATTCAAAATTTAACGTAGTTTTTTTTCAAAAAATTTAGGTACTAAAATAGGCTAAAACTAATAAATTAGGTATTAAAATGGACTAATCCATAAGTACTACAAACGCGAGAAAAACCATTCTAACCAATTTACTCCATTTATAAACGTCAAGATTTAAATTTATGACTTTACTTAAGTGGTATGGTGTCTGATCACATTAGACTAACTAGTTGTTATAATATATAATAATATAACATGACACAAATGACTAATATTTGATTTAAATAAAATAATAATTTAATTTTAAGTCATTTAAATAATTTTAAATAAATCGAGAGAATAAAAAGAATAAAAAAATCCTTTTAAGTTTATTCTAATATGAAACCAGAGGATGCGATGTTACATTAATTACTATTTATTTCATAATATCATTATAAAATGTAATTATTGTTTATAAGTGGTAATATTTTTAACAATTTTATTAATAAAAAATGTGATTACTATTTATCGAGAGTTTGCCGATAAAATTAAAACATTTAAAAGTTTAACATTAATCTAAAATAAAATCATAATTATAATATATAATTAAAATATAAAGTAATTTAAAATAAAAAATCATAATTTGTTAACCATATAATAAATTAACTTTTATTTATTTATTTTTGATGTGTCGAGACAGGAAGCAATCATTAGTTATATGAAAAGGAAGTGGCTTTATGGATTGAGTAAAGTGTACGAGTACAATACTATTTTTTAAAATTTAAATTATTATATATTTTTTATTTATATATTTTATTATATATTTTTTATTAAAAATTTATTTTATGTATAAAAAATTTATAAATTTAAATTCATCTCTCGTAATTTAAATTCAACCTCAATATAAAATATTCAGCCTGTCTCGAAAACTAAAAGGTTAAAAGGTTGCGTAGCCGGCCTATACAACATATTACGTGAGGCTGAGGGCCACAGAGGGCCGAAGGAGCCTCACTTGTATATATGTATG